CCCGACGGCAGCGCTGGCCGGGCAGCAGTGGGAAGCAGCCGGTCCCACGGCACGGCGAGCCCTGGGGGGAGGACGCGCCCCGTCCCATCCGCCACGGGACGCCAGCTCTGCTGCCGTCTTTGCTGGAGGGGGAACGGCTCCTGCTGGGCCGCAGCGCTCCCCCGGGACAGAGCTCAGCTCCCCGGGGACACAAAGCCCAGGCTGTGGAGCAGTCCTCGCCATCCCCATGGCCTCACACCCCAGAGCTGTTACAGGTCCTGGCTCCATCCCCACCACAGCACAATGCTGCTGCGTGCAGGAACATCACCGCGGGCTCCCTGCTCTCTGTACCCTCGGGACCAGACCAATGGGTCACCTACCCCACACTGAGCTGTCCCCTCCAGCCTGTGTGTCCCTCCACTATCCCCGGGACACGTCTCAGCGCCCCCCCCTCCCTGTGCCAGCACGTCTATGTAGGGCTGTACGAGCTGGCTCAGCTCCTCACTGAGATTTATTGTGGCTCCGAGAGCTGAAGGCTGCCAGCCTGATAGCATCGGCCCCTTGCACACCAGGGCAGCTTTTATATTAGTTTTCTTTAAACGGAGGATGAGCTTCCCAGGCTGGAGGAAATGTCATTACTCTGAACGCTTCCATCTCGTGAAGGTTCAGACATCTCCAGGCAGCATCACAATCACCCTCAAGCAGGGCAAGAGATGAGGACAGGATGCAGAAGCTGGGGCACACGGGGACAGACAGCTCAGGGACAGGGACCAGTGTTGGGCAGAGCTGGAGGAGAAGGTTCAGCAGTGGCCTTGGCCTTGTTCCCAGTCCCCTGCAGCCCTAGGCAGGTGGGCAGGGCTGCAGGGGCATGTAGGGAGGGCAGGGGGGCCTGTGGCGCCCAGTGCAGTTACTCACTTGTTGGCTGCCAGGGTGCTGGGGCCAGCTGTGAAATCGCACTGGTGAGAGCACAGCACAGTCCTGAAGGGCTTTGCCTTTCCAGCATGACAAACTCAATTAGATAACAGGGAGTGCAGGAGGAGGAGGAGGAGGAGGAGGAAGGGCAGAGGAGAGCCTGCCTGTGCTGGTACATGATTTCCTCCATGCAGCTGACCCAGAAAAGCACCTTTCAGGACTGGAGCACATGAGTCTAGCCAGGGACAGTGCCTGGTGCACAGGCCCCAGGGCATCCTGTTCGGCTTGCCAGGCACCCATGGATGCTGTAGTCTCAGGGCTGGGGTGACAGGATTCCCACACCGTGTGCCAGTCTCCCTGCTCAGCCGCCACACACCGGCATCCCCGCGCTGTGCTCACGTGCAGGGGAGACCCCATTAGGGAGGTAATTTCTCAACGCGATTCCTCATTTCCCTGCTCTCTGCCGTGGAGACACGCTGACCTTGACAGAAATAGCTGCTTGTGCCTCAGCAGTCAGATCCCAGCCAGAGACTGCCAGAGACCCTGGCATCCTCCTTGACAACCCACACAGCTCTGGGACCCCCCAAGATGCCCCCATCCCCCTGGGGCTTGCTGTCCCATCCCCTTGCAGCAGGGAGCCCCATGGAAGCAAGGTGCTGGCCCCCAGCATCCTCACACCAGCTTGCACCAGCCCACCCGCAAGCACTGGTGGTGTGAGGGCCAACCCCATGCACTCCCAGTCCCCCATCCCTGCTCCCGCCAGTCCACTGTGCCAGCCTCCAGCTGATTGCAGCTCATGCAGGTATTTCTGTGGCTTACATGGCTCCCCATGGTATTTAGCCTCTGGAAGACAACGTTAAACATTGCAAGCAGCGACAAATCCTGATTGCTTCAAGGAGACAAGAGGCCGCACTAAGCTTCCAACCAAATGTTTTCATGTGAGGGAAACGAGCTGTGGCATGTGCGTTGCTGGGGGGGGTCCTGCTCCTGCACAACCAGGACACCCAGCCCTGCTCCCATGTCCCTGTTGGGACTCCCAGCCCTGCTCCCACATCCCTGCTGGGCCCCCCCAGCCCTGTTCTCATGTCCCTGCTCTGACACTCAGCTGGACGGCAGGCCCTGGGCATGGGCATAGCATCCAGAGCAAGCACCCTAACATAGACACTCCAGAGAACAGACATCACTGGAGCATGATGGGGATAGGGACAGGAATGGGAAGATGTTGGAGTGCTGCCCGCTCTGGGCTTAGTGGGGATGCCAGTCCAGGGGTAACCTTGAGGATGATCTCCAGGTACCTCAGCCCAGAGAGCAAATTAACATGGTCAGGGCTGTGGTATAAAGGAAAGCAGCCTCCAAAATTGGAAATGCCGCTTTCTGAATGAGCACAGGTGGCTGGAAGCACAGGGATGCCCCTGGCCAGGAGACACAGCACAGGAGCTGGACCCAAACTGGGGCAACACTGGTAGAGCTGGAGCAACATCACATGCACACACGCTGACCCCTTCTCTGCTCCTGCCCCCTGCTGTGGCCATCCCGGCCCCTGAGCCCAGCTCTACCGGAGTCCCTCCCCATACCTCCCTCCTCCCCATGGCAGCCCCCACCGCATCCCCAGCAGCCTGCTCCCCCCGCGCAGCATGGCCAAGCCCCGCCTGGGTGCCCCGGGAGGGAAGCTGCAGCGCTGACGCCAGCATTAAAACTGCCCAGGATATGAGATCCGCTTGGATTCAGCAATTTCAACTCATTTCAAGCCCGATTCTGCAGCAATTTTCTGAGCCAGTGGGATGTTTTCGCCTCTGCAAACGTCCCCTCGCATGCACCGTCGCACCATTTCCCTTCCCCGCTCCCAGCAGGGGCTGGGGAACGGTGCCAGTTTGGCTCAACCCCAGCTCCGGTGGCAGCACAACCATCCCCCACACCGACAGCCCCTCGGCGCAGCTCCCTGCCCCACGCAGAGCTGCCCAGACGGCTCCTGCGGGATGCAGCCCTGCTTGTGGGGGCCGGGGCTCCCACCTCCATGGGGCGCCGGGCTCTGCAGCCTGAGTCCCGGCAGAGCAGGGCACCTTCGGCCCTGAGCGGGACACACCCGGGCTGGGCTGGGCTCCTTTCCCCCATCCTGTGAAAGGCCAAGCTCTGGAGCACCCTCCCTAGCACCCAGACCTGCTTCCCCAGGAGGAGGGAGAGCAGCAGGGTCGCAGGAGGACTCGGGGATGCTGCGAGCACATCCCAGAGGGGCCAGGACCCCTCCTGCCACCGCAGATGTGCCTCTTTCTGTGCCATAGGCCAGCCTGTGCCAGCTGAGCCCCCTTGGCCAGGCCTGAGCAAACAGCAGAGACGTGGGTGCACAGGGCTTGCAGAGCCCCTCTCGTGCCAAGCAGGCACGCTGCCGGAATAACAAGTGCTCAGCTGTGCTGCGGGCTGCGCTGCCAGCTGGGCAGAGCAGCGCGAGGCACCCAAGCCCCAGCGGCCGGCAGGGCGAGCAGGTCACTGCCTGGCTGCAGTACTGGGGCCAGCGTGAAGCCCAGTGTTTCCCAGGAGCAGACAGGACCCAGATCGGGTATCCCTGCTCCTGGCAGGTCAGGATCAAGAGGATGCAATGCATGGCAGAGGGATGCACAGTGTGCATGGGCAAGAACACCTTCCTCAAACATCTGCCCCAGCGCTGCCAGCAACATCAGTAAAGCAGGAGGACACTGGCACCATCCTGCTTTCAGAAGCAGCATCTGTGACAGCACACCCAAACACATGTGCCAGGGAGGAAGCTCTCCCTTGCAAGTCATTGCTCCAGGAGTCCTGCACTGGTGAAGGCAGGAGTCAGAGGGGCCTGTGCTGCTGGTGCCACACAGAGCCAGAGCGACTGTGACATGAGGAGGAGGTACTAGGGACCCCAGGTGCTCACCTCTTGGCCCCTCTGCACAGGCACAGCAGCACACAGCTTCCTCCAGTAGCAGAGCAAGTGCCATTGCAAAGTTGTGCATTCCCCTCCCGCTGCTCCTGGGGGGAATTCGTCCCAGAATCTCACTTAGCTTCTCATTTCCAATCTAAATTTATTCATGGCCAGTTTGTACCATTTATTCTTGTGCCAGCATTGTCCCTTAGCTTAAATAGCTCTCTTCCCTCCCTTGTGTTTACTCCCTTGATGTATTTATAAACAGCAATCCCATCCCCTCGCAGCCTCCAGCCTGCCAGCCCGCACGTGCCAATCGCTCCTGGTTTCCTCTCTGGATTCAGGCTCTGCTTGCCTGCGCAGCCGGGCTGCCTGGCACAGCATCTGCTCCAGCTCCCCGGCAGCTTCCTCAGCCCCGGCTGCCCAGGGCTCACACACTGCTCTGGAGAGGTCACCGGCACACACGGACACATGACTCTGCCCTCTCCATCCCACAGCAGCCGTGGGGCAGCATCCCACCCAGGTCAGGACCACTGCCCTGGCTGGGGCTAACCTGATCCCTGCAGACCTCCCGGCAGCTCATGCTTTCATGTAGTTTGCTTTCATTAAGCACTTTAAAGCATCCACTGAAAGCGTCACCTGGGTAGGTGAAGGAGCCAACACCAAGGGAATCACAGAAGAGGAAGTGCTGGGGTGCAGAGAGGCAGGGGGGCAGGAGCCAGGGAAGCCCGCTGCAGCCTGTTGGCAGCAAGCAAACTCTCTGGGACATTGAGCATTGTGTTTACCTATCCCGGTCTCTCCTTAAGCACGAGGGTCAGGTGCTGAGGCTGCAGGAGTTTTCTGCCCCATGTTTCTGCCTCCTGCCTCCCCCGGGGAGAGAGATGGGGAAAGCTGCAGGGCAGAGCCAGGAGGTGTTCAGGGTCCCCATGGGAAAGGTGCACCGATGTTGCACCCCCAAACATGCCAGAGTGAGCTTGCTGAGCTGCTAACATGCTCTCTGGCCTGGGTTTGGACTGTGCTGAGCAGCAATCCTGCCATCACTCTGTGCACCCACCATCTCTTTCCAGCCAGATTCCCATCGACAGACACCCCCTGAGCTGGGCACACTGCCCTCAGGCA